TATCACAGCAAAAAGATCCTACGCATAACAACAGAAAATCTAAACGATAGTCACCTTACAAAGAAATGGGCAGAACCTATTTGAGAAAAATCGTTAGACTTTCCTGAAGGGCATAAAGAGAGGCCAGAATAAATGAAGAGACATACTGTGTTCCTGGATGAGAGAACTCAATATTGTAAAGAAGCCAATTGCCTTCAACTGATATACAAATTTTAAACAAAATCTCTAGCAGGATTTTTAATTGAATTTGACCCCAAGAGACTATTCTGGAAGACAAAATATGTAAGAAAAAAAAATTTTTTTAAATGATGAGGGAGGCTTTCTCTATCAGATATCAAACTATAAATGCAAGAGTAACTGAAACTGTGGTTTGGGCTTAGAAGTAGGTAGACAAATAGATCCACATAACAAACCCAACTCCAGAAACAAACCCATGTTTACAAGAAAATTTAGCAAACAATAGAGGAGTGAAATTTCAAATGACTAACGAAAGAGGTTACAGAAGGAACTTGAACAGCTGGTAACATGTGGAAAATAATAATGCCAGCTATTGTCCTCACCAAAACCAAAAATATGCTCCAGGTGGATCAAAAAGCTAAGCATAAATACTTGGTCTAAAAGTATTTGAAAAAAATATATAGGAGAATATGTGTATAGCCTTGAGGTACAGATGGCACAAAATAATATACAACATGTAAATGGTATAAAAAGATTGATAATGATTACACTGGAATTTAAAAATTTTGTCTATTAAAAAATATCAAAACCAAAATGAAAATATAAGCAAAATGCATAAAGATTTACGCTTCTTATAAATCAATAAGGAAAAGACAAACAACCCAACAGAAAATGGGCAAAGACTATGAATAGGCAATTCACAAAAGAAGAACTCCAAAGGGCCAGTGAAGATAGGAAACATCTACTTCACTAGTAAACAGCAACACAAATGAAAGTGAGAATGAGCTTCTCTCCATCGTATTGTTGAGATTGGAGAAAGGAGGGGAGAAGAGTGAAGGGAAGACTTGCAGGTAGATGGAGAACTTCCAGGGTTGGCGAAGGGGTGAGGAATTGGGCATTCTCATATATGATTGGATGATATAATTGGTACCATCTTTTTGGAAGAAAAACTTGGCCACATCTATTAAAATAATATTTCAAAAATCTGCATACCCTTCAATACAACAAATCCATGTCTAGGTTTCTACTCCTAGAAATACTTAGAGCAAGGGTCTATGGAGCATGGATAAGTATGTTCACTGTGTTTGCTGTGCTGGGTGTGAGGAGGCAAGCTCAGCTTGAGCCCTGCTACCACGAGGCGAAACGGTGTCACTGTACAGGGAACAGGGAGCCATCCTGGAGGGTGAGGTTAAGACAATGACAGAGGGCACAGGGACCCACAGAAGCTCAGTGTAGGTCCTCCTCCAGGCTGGAGGGCAAGCTGGGGCACAGGGAACCAGGGGAGGCTTCCTGGAGGGGGAGTGCCTATGGAAGTCTTAAGTGATGAGCAGAACTTAGGCCCGGGACAGTGGATGGAGGACATCAAGGAGAAAGACAACTTGTACAAAGTCTTGCAGGAGCAAGATGGGCGTCACCAATCCTGGGATGTGAGATGTACTGTGCTGAGAGATGAGGCTGGAGAAGTGGGTAGGAGCTCTCAGTGGATTTTACCCCATTGGTGATGGGGACCCACAGAAAGGGGCTGAGACACAATCGGAGCAGCTCCTTAGGAAGATCCTGAGGCAACTGTGGAATGTGGGTCTGGAGAGAGAAAGGCTGGGGACCATGAAGAGAGCCAGTAGGTGGCAGTGAGAGAAGGACAAAGAGGGTGAGTGGGGACCAGAGGACTAAAGGCCAGCTGGATGTGAGGGCATCAAGGATAGCTTTCTGGCTTGGGGGTTGGATGGATGGTGACACCCTTTGCTGAGATGGCTGTTACACAGGAACAGGTGGCTTGATGCCCTATTTGTTTTATGGTGTTCCCTAATAATCAGCCCATGGGGGAGAATTACGAAGGGCCCAGGGTCTTATAGCACTTGTGGGGTTAGGTTTCACCTCACCAACCCCTAGCCTTTGAAGCCTCGGGGTGCTCTCCACGCCTGCCCATGCCCCCACCCTTCACCATATGGATGAGGGGGCTGTGAAAAAAGGGAGCACAGTGGGCAGCTGCTGAGCAAACCAGCCTCAAGAGGGACTCCCAGGTACTTCCTGAGACCTCAGCTTTGAACACCCTCTGTGGACACTGGAGACACGCAGCATTCCCTCTGGCCAAACTCAAATTCCCTGCATTGGGAAACCCGCCCAAACGTTGGGTTTATTAAGCTTTCAACGAGGTTTTTTTTTTGTGCCAGGGTACCACAGGATCTGAGGACACAGGCAGGGTGACATCCAGTACGTTCAAGAACTGGTGCATCGCAGGTGCCACCTGCCCCAGATCAACTTGCATTGGTCTGCAAGTCTGGAAAGCAGGCTGAGAGCCCCTGCTGTGACAGTCCAATGGCAGGGGTTCATGAGGTCTGGGAAAGGGGTGAGCAGGGCGGGGTGCCCTTAGATGCCAGGTGTGCAACTGTTTACCACGAGCCAACCCCAAAGCATTACGCTATTTTAACTATGACCCTCATCAGTGGTAATGTCAGAGGTCTTCATCCCACCCGAGGGCAGGAAGGAAAGGGGGGCTTGCTGATGTTGTCCCATCATGTGTCATCCCTGCACAGTCCCCAAGCCACTCCTCGCATTTCATCCCCTAGCAGCTCCTGGGAAGCCCGGAGTGATCCAGGCTCTCATCAGTCTTAAGCTGACCCCTAGGGGACAGCTGGGACACAGCAGGGCACTGAGGGCCAGACCTATAGGATTAGGACCTGTCCCCAGGCTGGCCCCCTCAATGTCCCCGACCTGAGGAGCTGTGGTCTTGCCCATCCTGGTCTTCAGCCAAATGGAACCCAGAGCTGAACATTACAGGAACCTGAGGCTGTAAGGGGACTCATTTCCGTCACAGGGCCGGAGGCCTCTAGCCCTTCACAACCCATCACCACAGGAGCCCAGTGGCCTAGTGGGCTGACCTCTGAACTCTCCCCCCATTTCCCCGCCAGCTCATGGGAGCCCATGGTGAGAATCAGAGTTCAGGTCAACCAAGCTACACCACCAGGCACTCACCAACAAGGCTATTCACTGTGTCCGGCGATCAGTCACCATCTTGCTTGATGCCACCTGTAAAGGCCAGAACTACGTGGAGGGCAGAAGAGAGTTCACCCAAGAGCATATGCTCCTAACAATAAGGTTGCCGGTTCAACTTCCGCATGGGATGATGGGCTACACCCACCCGCAACTAAGATTGAACACAACACCTTAAGCTGAGCTGCCTTGAGCTGCTGACGGGCGGTCAGATGGCTAAGTGGTTAGAGCGTGCGCTCTTAGCAACAAGGTTTCTGTTCAACTCCTGCATGGGATGGTGGCTATGCCCACCCGCAACTAAGATTGAACACGGCACCTTGAGCTGAGAGGCCACGATCCACTGACAGGTGGCCGGATGGCGACTAGACTTGCAGCTGAGCTAGCTGCACCCTCCACAACTAAGACTGAAGGACAACTTGGCTGTTCCCCTTCCCCAATGCCCAACACTGTTCCCCTTCCTCAATTCCCCAATACAATCTTCAAAAAAAAAAAATCTCTTGAACAGTGAGATTCAGAGAGCTTCCAGGCTGATGAGCACACGGCTGTGCCGGGAAGGCAGTGTGCCTGGAGAGAGCATGGACTCTCTGTACCCACCCCCCATACCTGGTCCTGTGCATCCTTCCCATTGGCTGTTCCGTTCTGTCCTTTATTATCAACCAATCATCATAACGAGGAAGAGTGAAGAAATAAAATGGAGTCATTATAGTCCAGCTGCTAGATTACTAAAATCAGTATATCGAGGCATGAGAAAATTATTCTATTCTTGTTCTAACTAAGCCTGGGAACTTGAACTTTTGAACTTTCCAGTCCTGCATCAATGCCTAGATATACAGCCTAGGCATATATAAACCTCCAGATACCCTCTAGTTGCCCCCTGAAGGACTAAGGAAAGAATGTTCACATATCCAGACCACCAGACATCGACAGGATTGCCATCTCCGACCAAGCCAGAGGCTCAGAATGAAGGGCGGATTCTTCTCAAGAATGAAATTTTTTACTGTAAGAACTATCAGCTTTTCTTTCTTCCTTGGAACACTTCTAGGTACTGCCTAGTTGTGCTTCCAGTTTGCAAACCCTAAGACCCTTGAATAAATCTTTTCATTTATTTCTAGCCAACGCCTCCAGATGCTTTTTGAGTTCATTTGGCTGGACGTATAGCATTTTCCTGAGTTCTGTGAGTTGTTCTAGTGAATTATTGAACTTGAGCAGGGTCATGGGAACTCCCACATTTGCAGTCAACCAGCAGAGGTACAGGGAGCATGAGCACCCCATTTATGGCTGCCCCCCCAAGTGGGGCAACCTTGTGGGACTGAGTCCTTGATCCTGGGTCTGTACAAACTCTGGGTAGTTGGTGTCAGAATTGAACTGAGTTGCTGGACACCTACTTGGTGTCAGAGAACTGGGGAGCTGGTGGTTGTTGTTTAGAAAAAAAAACAAACAAAACCCACACACAAGGACCTGTCAGCTCAGCGGGGTATGGCACAGGAGAAAAGAAAAATATTGTCGTCTTGCCTGCTGTTGACCCTGAACCTGTCACTTTCCCTCTCTGGGCTCAGTTTCTGCTTGGTACCACAGAGGGAGAGTAAAGGTGCTCTGTGAGGACTCCCCCAGGCCCTACATGCTCTGCTGTGGCTCTTCCCAAGGGGCTTCATTGCCCTGGTTCCAAAAATGATTTCTTGACTTTGAAGCCAAAGGGTCCTCAGAGGAGGCTCGAGGGCTCCTAGATGCCAAAAAACATGAAGCCAAGGCAAGAAGATCAAGAAGAAGGCGGGCCGCAGGAGGCGCCACCGTGCCTCCTGAGCGAGGAGGGGCCTGCGAGCGCTCTCTCCTACCTGCTCCACACAGTCTGGGATCTCCAGTGCGCAGGGCAGCGTCCCTGCGCTCTCCACGGACAGCACGTCCTTCAGCAGCTCCTCACACCCTGTGGATGGACAGACGGACAGTGGAGAATCAGAGCCTCAGCCTGGCATGGGAGCTTTGCTTCTGGTTAACAGGTCTTGGGTGGGAAGGGCTGTATAGGAAGGTAGGTGGCCTGAGTTTCCAGGAGGCCCGCTGATCATTCAAAGGCAGAGATGGAACACCCAGGCTGTACAGAAGCCGGTCCAGGGCTCTGCGGAGGGTGTTGAGACAGGTCCTTGCTCTCCAGATGTCTTTCCACTGAGACTAACCCCAACAGGGAACACACAGAAAAGAGACTCCCAGATGTGGAGGGCAGGTTGGGGGCGAAAGGAATCAAGGAGGCCTTCCTGGAGGAAGGGATGTAAGACAATACTCCCTACCTGGCTGGCAAGGACTCCAAATGTATATATTACCCTGAAGCTGAGGCCCTCTGCAGCCCTGCAAACTCCAGAACCTGGGATAGGGTCACCTTCAGGATGGCTCCACCTCCTGCTAACTCAATTACACTTCCTCCTCGTTCCCAGCCAAATGCCCCCAAATCATATGGGACAGAGGAGGTTAAAACCTGCAAAGCACCTAGCATGAGCACATAACAGGTGCAGTTAGTGGTGGCCCTATAGAGTCAACTCCATTCACAAACATTTATCGGGGACCTGCTGTGTGCAGTGCCCCCAACCTCTCAGCTCATCTCCCTCTGCCCCTCACCTCTATGGCAGTAATTCCTGCTTCCTTCTCACCTGCCAAGATCTTGGGGTACCCCACAGAGAAGGATTCATCCTGATCTGATTCATCCTGTCCACACAGACAGGGAACCGGGAACTGTGGCTTCCTTCACAAGTAACAGGAAGGCCTCAGGACTCCTGGGAGTAAACTGTGCTCTCTCGGCAGCCAGGGGGGCCGCCTTCGCAAGCCACCTGCGGGCGACCTGCACTCCTTCCTCCAAACAAACAGTTGGTAGTAAGAGTGGCCATATTCTGACACCATATTCCCGGGGGCTCTCACAACTGCCTTTGAACTGGGGAAAAAAGAGGAGGATTTTATATTGCCTTCTTAAAGGGGAGGTGCGAGGAGGAAAGGAAGGAATTGGGGGGAGTTGAGAGAAGGAGAGGGAGTAGGAAACAAACGAAGGCAACTTAGAAGGGAGGAAGGGAGACAGGGTGATTAGCTCTGTCCAGTTTTGCCCAGAATTCTCCTGGTTTTAAAACTGCAAGTCCCATGTCCTAGGAGACTCCTCAGGAGCTTGGTCAGCTAGACGGAGATGACCTCCTTTGGGACAGGGAGGGGAAGAGAGAGAAAAGGGAAGCAAAGAGGGGGCCCTATCCCCAAGGGGACAGGCAATGGGAAGGGAAAAAATGGCTGTCTGGCCATTCGGTCATGCCTGGCACCGGGTGTGGGACTCCGTGGCAGAGGATCAGAGACAGCCCTCCCACGCCAGGAGCACAAGACCCTACCCCTCAGCCCCAATGGGGATACAGCCACTTCTGGAACCTATTCTGGACTCTGGGGACCCCTGTGGGGAGGAATCTGAGCTGAAATCCAAGTCATGCCTGCCTCTGCAGCTGGACAGGATCCTGAGAGCCCCTAGGACCTCCTCCCCCAGAAGACCTCACCTTTCATGGCGAACACCCCCCGGCAAAAGTCCTTGAAGTTGATTCTCCCCAGGTCATTGGGATCCAAATATTTCACAAGTTTTTCCACCTGTGGAAAGAAAGAAGTGACAAGTATGAGCTCCCCAGAAATGCCCCCGCAGGGTTTACAGGAAGGCTGGCCAGGAGGCTGGGATGGACAGAGGGCTCAGCTGAGCCAAGGTGATACCTGCAGTCCCCTCCTAGCCCTCTTCCCCGCAACCTGGGGTCAGCACCAGCCCCAGAGAGTGGGGGGCCATTGTATTCTCTGAGGTCGACAGAGAACACGAGTGAGGAAAAACAACACCAACACTACAGTGTTCAGAAAACTATTTGTTTGGGCCAATCATCCTTTTCTAGTCCTTTCCACAAAGACTGGCACATGGAAAGCACTCTGATTTTTTTAACTTAATGGTTTCTTTCACACAAAAACAATACAAACTCACTGCAGAAACTCAAGAAAAAAAATGAATCAAAACTTTGCCATTTCCCATCACTTTTCTTTTGAACACATAGTTTTTGTAATTTTTATTTTTTTAAAGATTTTTATTGGGGAATTGGGGAAGGGGAACAGTGTTGGGGAACTGGGGAAGGGGAACAGCCAAGTTGTTATCCTTCAGTCTTAGTTGTGGAGGGCGTAGCTAGCTCGGCTGCAAGTCCAGTTGCCATCCGGCTGCCCAACGGCAGCTCGCGGCGCTCAGCTCAAGGTGCCGTGTTCAATCTTAGTTGAAGGTGGGCGTAGCCCATCATCCCATGCGGGAGTCAAACTGGAAACCTTATTGCTAAGCGCACATGCTCTAACCACTGAGCCATCCACCTGCCGGTTGGCAGCTCACTGCCGCTCAGCTCAAGGTGCTGTGTTCAATGTGGGAGTCGAACTGGCAACCTTATTGTTAGAAGCACATGCTCTCACCAGCTGAGCCATCCTATTGGCAGCTCAGTGGCAGCTCAGCTCGGGCGCAGCTCACTGGCCCATGTGGGAATCGAACTGGTGACCCTGTTGCTCAGAGCTTGTGCCCTTAACCAACCGAGCCACTTGGCCGGCCCACAACACATAGTTTTAACTTTTGTGTGTGTGTGTAGTTTGTACTTTGTAGTTCTGAGAGAACTTTTGTCAAATTCCCCTTTGTCCACAAGGAGGAAATAATTATGTCAGCATCATTAGGACTGCTCCCTCTCGCTCACACCCAATCCATACACAAATGCTGTATCCCAAAGCTACCTTTCTTTCCACATCACCCCTGGGATCCCACCTGGTCATAGCCATCATCATCCCTCTCCCTGACTATCCTAATTCATCTACCTTCTTCCACTTTCAGACCCCTCCAATTCATCCTCCACTTCAATTGGATCATGTCACCTACTCCCCTTCTTAAAATCTTCCAGTGACTGTCCACTACACTTAGGATAAAATTCAACTCTGTAACATGGCCTACAAGGCTTTACCTGATCTGGCCTCTCCAGCCCCATTTCCATCTCCTCCCTCTCTTTCTGTCACTTACTGAATTCCAGCCACACTGGCCTTGACTCAACTCTTCAAACAAACCAAATTCTTTTCTGCCTCAGGGCCTTCGCACATGCTGTTCTCTATATTTCAAATGTTTATCCTCCTCATTCATCATCTGACATCTATTCATCCTTCAGGTCTTCATTTGACCTCTATTAAATATTTCTCCCCCAGACAAGCCTGTCCTGACCATTCCCATCTAATTAGGGCCCATCCTGCTGTTATCCTGCCACGTAGCACCCTATACCTTCCCTTCAAACAATTTGTTGCAATGTGTAATTATGTATTTATGTGGTAATTTCATTAATTTGTATCTTCTCCTCTAGAAAATAAGCTCCCTGAGGACAAGGATCGTATCTGTTTTAATCACTACTGTATACCTAGTAGCTCACATCATGACTGGCACATTGTAGAAGCTTCAGAAATATTTGTTGAATAAATGATTATAAATGGTTCTCCAAAACATCAAAGTTCTTCAGGCTTTTTATAACAGTTGCCAATATGTTCTCTGTAATGGTGTCTTAATTAAGTCTTTAATTAGAGCAACTGACTTCAAACTTGTGAACTCTGGGTATGTTTTCCTAGTTTTTGGCAATGGTCAATTTTGTCTGAATTCTCTTTTGTAATTAATTGGAGCTATTTTTTCCCCCTACGTTTTCCAGGACCTGAAATTCAATTTCTTGATATCTTTTCCAGAAGTCCACTTCTAAAGCAGCCTGTAACTTCATGGCAGCCCGTCCACAGTACACACACAAGCATTCATTCATTCACTCATTTATTCCACAAGCAAAGACTGGGCACTCTGCTGGGGGCTGCTGGCTCTCCACAGACATGGTCACACAGATACACACGTGCACACACACTCATCCTCAGGTACTTGCCCTCCCCACCCCCATAACCACCATCAGTACCTACAGCTCTCTCCCAGACTCCTTTTGGGCTAGGTTGCAGGTGACGGATATGAAAGCATTTGGGAAACTGTAGAGCACAGCCTGTGGGAAAGGGATTCCGTCACTGTTGTTCTTGTTAGTATTGTCATGACAGACGCCCGCCAGCCCACGCCCACTCCCCCACCACACACTCTGAAGCTGGAGGCATGTTGGGGGATTCATCTATTTGTAAGGACCATGTTTCCTGCATGCCTACAGGACACTTCCAGTGTGGCAGTTACAGCAGGGGTCTAAAGCCCTGGTCACTGCCAGTGGCCTGGCATTATGGGGATGTGCCCGGTGGGCTCTGGAAGATGAGCAGTGAGCAAGGGCACGCCTGACACAAGCATCTCTCCTCCCTGCCTGAGCTGGTGGCCCTCTAGTCCACTTGGGTGTGAGTCCGGGGTTGAGGGATGACTGCCCCCCTGAAGCTGGTACCTAGCAGGCTCTCTGGAAATGCCTGAGGAATTCCTTCCAGTGAAGCAGGGACATAGCTTTCTGCCAGCTCCCTCCACAGCAGGCAGCAGGAATATCCTCAGCATTGCAGCTGCCCTCCTCCGCCACCCCCCCCTCGCCCCCAAGCCAAGGCAGCCTCTGACACTGCGTGAAGTGGCTTGGCTTCTGAGAATAGCAATGCTCAGGTGCCACCTGCAGGGCTTTTGGGAACCCACCCACCACCCCAGCTGTGCCCCGCCTCCTCTCCTCCTGAGTTCTCATTACTGGCATTGTAGGAAGTCTATGAATACAGAGATGAGCTGGGGCACCCGGTACCGCTCTCCCAGCCTCCTGGCCCTTGCTCAGTCCTACAGTCCTCTCCAAGGTCATAATTATCTCTGAGGCAAGTCAAGGGCAGAAGCACCGCGTGCTGAAAAGCTGATGAGGAACTCCAACCTCACATCCACCTAAGAGGCAGCAGCCTGTGGATTTGGGGCTGTAATCCATGGAGTTTGGGACTCCCTGGGGTTGGGAGACACTTGTGGGGCCAGACTGTCTATCCCCCTCAGCCAGTCTGAGGGGAGCAGGTATTTGATGACAACAGATAGATGGGGTTCTGAAGGCCACTGCAAATACCCTGAGCTGTGGCCCAGGAGATTCTCACAGGGCTCTCCAAAGAGCTGAGGTCCCCGAAAGTAGTGGATAGGAAAGTGCTGTGTCAACTGCTGAACAGCCCTTCAGAAAACAGGCAGGATCATTGTAGAATTATTATAACAATAAGTACCAATTCTATCAACAAATACCATCACGGTAGGCTCAATGATTTTTTAAAATAAACAATAGCATAGCTTACATGGGGAAGAATTAAAATCCTTGCTGGGTTCATGGAGGGCTTGCCACAGGTTATATGGTACAGTGCTAAACTCTGGCTATAGTTATTCTCATCTAATCCTCACAACCACCTTAATAGTAGCTACTATTAGTCTCCCATTTTATAATTGAGGAGACTGAGGCTCAGAGAGGTTAGACATTTAGGGAGCCACCCTAGGGGTAACTGCCTTGACCCTTGCACTTGACAGCTTTCTTGCAGTGGCGGGCTCTTACCGGGTGTCTGCAGCACAGGGTAGTTTCAATCCCCTACCCGCTATGTATCAAAGGAGTTTGATCTCCTGTGGCTGGAACCCCTCACCATAATCACCAAGAGTCTCAGCCTTCCTGGACACTAGACCACCTTTTGCCAATGCACTCGGAGGATGCATTCAGCTGACCTAGCCCTTCATTTTATAGACAGGGAGGCCAAGTCCCAGGGAGAGGTGGGCTTGCTCAAGGTCACAGAGTGAGTTCAGCAAATAACCACCCACACATGGTCTTCATGGTGAGCTGGGGCCACAGGTGCTGGGGCCCACCCGGTGGTGCATATACCCTTCGTGGCTGGCCACCCTGGGGTCTGTGCTCGGTTCCCAGGCCAGAAGCGATGGGCACGCTGGGCCTGGCAGGGACTGCACGAGCAGCTGTTGTCGCTGAGGCACACAGCTGGGCCGCGGAGCTGGCTGCCAGGGAAACTGGTTGTTTCACTGGCAGTAAAATATTGCTGTTTCCTTTTTTGGGGCCGCTCAATTACCAGGCTTCCCCTTCTATTTCTGTTGCCTTTCTTTTTAGGCTGACTTTCCCCCCACTCATTCCCCGGGGTCACATCTTTTCTAGCTCAGGCCAGACAGTGTTCAGAGTTGCATTGCTGCCATTCTCTGCTTGATCACCAGCCAGATCCTCCCGGAACCTGTGCCCAGACACCCACGCCTCCCCAATTCCAAGATCTGCAAGCCAGATGGAGTCAAACAAGCCATTTGCCTCTCTGAGGTCTCAGCTGCCTTATCTGAACAAGGGAGATAAACTGGCTCGGTCCGCAGGTAAAGTGCCTAAGAAATATTAGGCGTTATATTTATTATTGGGCAAGCAAATACTTTATACTCTTCCTTTGCCTGTTCTAAGCACTCTCTACATATGGATTCACTGAACACTCACAGCCACTTCGGAAGCAGATATGATTTTTATTCCCATGGTACAGATGAGGAAACTGAGGTGCAGAAAGGCTAAACCGTTCAGGGTTCAAGTCCCACAACTAGTAAGAGGCAGAGTGGGAATTTCAACACAGGCAGCCTGGCTCCACAGCTCATGCACCTTACCAATAATTATTATTATTTCTCCTAATGTAAGTATAACTGCTGTTATTATTATCACAAGTCTGGGGGCTTGCTCTGACCAGAGAAAGAATAAATTTGTATTTTGCTCTCTTTTCACCTAGAAAAACTGGCATGGGTACTGAGAGCCTTTGGTTAAGAATTTGAATACAATAAGTCTTCACTTAACGTTGTCAATAGGATTTGAGACTTTAAGCTAAATGATGTATAAAATGAAACCAATTTTACCATAAACTAATTGATATTAACAAGAGTTAAGTTCCCACGGCATCTTATCAATTCTATAACAAAATGATATTGAAGGGCAGCTGGTTGGCTCAGTTGGTGAGGATGCAGGCTTATAACAACAAGGTTACCGGTTCAATTCCCTACACGGGCCACAGAGCTGTACCCTCCACAAGTAGATTGAAACAACTACTTGACTTGGAGCTGATGGGTCCTGGAAAAACATACTGCTCCCCAATAAAATTAAAAACAAAAAGACATTGAACGAAGCTATGTTCAAGCAAGGACCTGCTGTATTTAAAGGAAAAGGTGTAATTTAAAATGTGTTGTTAAAACAGAGGTCTCCAACTAGCATCCCAAATGCAGCTTGTGGACAATCTTACAATTCTAGGTTAAGATGGAGTCAGTACACGACATTTATCTCTTCCATCAATTATAAATAAAAATCTCTAGACAGAATACATAAAGCAACTAGTCTACTAGCTGAAGCTGGGGCTTACTTTACGTGTCTGAGATACATCAGTGAACAAAGAGACCACAATCCCAGCTGTAATGGAGCTTACATTCTAGGTAGGGAGGAGACAGAAAATAAATAATACACCATAACAAGTATATGCTGTAGTATTTTAGAAGATAGTGGACAAAACACAGCAGGAGGGGAGGGCTTTGGGTGGTTGCAGAGCTGGTTATAGAGAATAGTATGTTGAGAGCGGGCCTAATTGAGAAGATACCATTTGAACTAAGACTTAAAGGTGAGCTATTTGGACACAAAGGGAGTGTTGTACAGAAAGGAAGTAGGCAGAGCAAAGGCCCTAAGATACGGACTCTGAGGAGTAAAGCGCAACAGACAAATTAGGAGGAAAATTAACTTGAAATTAAAAAAACAAAAACAAAAACAAAATAAACAAAAATCTTGAAGGAAGATGAATATGGTGGTAGCAAGTCTCCTGATCTATTTCTTTCTCACCTATTTTCCACCCTAGACTCAGGTAGCCCAAATCCCAGAACTACACAGCAGGTGTAAACAGAAAAAGCTCCAAAGGAAACTATATTTTTTATGACAGGCCAGGGGAGGGGGCCCTTTTAGGACAGAGAGGCTGGAAGAAATGTCATTTAGTTTTGTTTTAATCCCTCTCCCAGCTCTACACCAAGGCAAGCCCCCATCCCAAAGCTGGG